GTGGTTGAACTCTGTGGCTGTCCTGGGGCCCGCCTGGGCCGCCGAGGGGTCCAGCGAGGCCGTCTGGAGGGCATCTCGGAGTCCTACTCGAGCCTTCTTGGCGCCCTCCTGGGCCGTCTCCGGGAACTCGTGGGCGGCTCTGGGCCCCGCCGTGGCCTCGTGGGGCCGACCTCGAGAGCCTGGGCCGTCTTGAAGTCTGGTAAGGCTAAACTCAAGGGGCCCCAGGACACATAAATAAATACACACAAATAAAAGGATTCCCCATAGTTTCCTATATTTTCTGGGTTTCTGTCTTCCCCCCCACTTCCCATATTTTCCCATATTTTCTGGGGGGTCGACGATTAATTGTGTCTGTGTGTTTCTTCCCCTCCTGATAAACACGCGACAGTTTAAAATCAGCATGACAACAAGAACACTCTCTGTGGGCCTCGCGGTAGCCCTGTTGCACCGCTCTTGGATCCTTGTTGGAGCCTGCGGGGCAGTCGTCTCGCCTGATTGGACTGTGTTCAGGTTAGCCTTCGGCCGGGGACGACCTTGGGCTGTGTGGGGTGGGGCGGGGGGGCGATGTTGTGACCAGTGCCCCAGTGCAGGGGGCCCTCTCCCATACTGGCCCCAAGACAGCGGCCCTGGGAAGCTTGACTCCCGATCTGATTTCTGACACCATGTGGATCGATGAAACCGGGATCGATCCCGCTTTCTGATCTAGCGCAGCCAATGCTGGGCTACAGGCAGCTTTCAAACCTTGAACGCCCGCGCTGGGGTCGCCGCACCTTCGATACGGCGCACAGCTGCCGTACGACTGCATGTCTGCCTCGACGAACTTCCTCTGTCCTCTGAGGTGCTCGTACCCTCACCTTCACCTCCGCCTCACGCTCCCGCCCGTCCAACGCGTACTCCCCTCTGTCTTCACCCAGACCTCTTCCCCTGCCGCTCGTTCGCCTCATCCCCATTTCACATCCTCCTCCTCCTCCTCCTCCTCCTCCTCCTCTGCCTCCTCCTCTTCCACCTCCTTCTTCGCCAACTCATCATTGTTATCGTCTTTGTCCTTGTCAAGGTTCCCCTCCTCCTCCTCCTCCTCCTCCTCCTTCTTCTCCTCACCACCATCCTTCCCACCGATCATTGTGACTTGTGGAGTCCAAAACCTGGATAGCGACGCAGTGGACAGCGTGCAAAACGCTGATGGGGGACGCTTGCAAGGGCGCTGGAACGCATGCCTGGGAAGCTAGAGAGCGTGGGAGACGTGTGTGTGTGTGTGTGTATATGTGTGTGCGCGTGTGCGCGTGTGCGCGTGTGCGCGTGTGCGCGTGTGCGCGTGTGCGCGTGTGCGCGTGTGCGCGTGTGCGCGTGTGCGCGTGTGCGCGTGTGCGCGTGTGCGCGTGTGCGCGTGTGCGCGTGTGCGCGTGTGCGCGTGTGCGCGTGTGCGCGTGTGCGCGTGTGCGCGTGTGCGCGTGTGCGCGTGTGCGCGTGTGCGCGTGTGCGCCTGTGCGCGTGTGCGCGTGTGCGCCTGTGCGCCTGTGCGCCTGTGCGCCTGTGCGCCTGTGCGCCTGTGCGCCTGTGCGCCTGTGCGCCTGTGCGCGTGTGCGCCTGTGCGCCTGTGCGCCTGTGCGCCTGTGCGCCTGTGCGCCTGTGCGCCTGTGCGCCTGTGCGCCTGTGCGCCTGTGCGCCTGTGCGCCTGTGCGCCTGTGCGCCTGTGCGCCTGTGCGCCTGTGCGCCTGTGCGCCTGTGCGCCTGTGCGCCTGAGCGCCTGTGCGCCTGTGCGCCTGTGCGCCTGTGCGCCTGTGCGCCTGTGCGCCTGTGCGCCTGTGCGCCTGTGCGCCTGTGCGCCTGTGCGCCTGTGCGCCTGTGCGCCTGTGCGCCTGTGCGCCTGTGCGCCTGTGCGCCTGTGCGCCTGTGCGCCTGTGCGCGCGTGTGCGCCTGTGCGCCGTGTGCGCCTGTGCGCCTGTGCGTGCGTGTGCGCGTGTGCGCGCGCGTGCGCGTGCGCGTGCGTGCGTGCGTGCGTGCGTGCGTGCGCGTGCGCGTGCGCGTGCGCGTGCGCGTGCGCGTGCGCGTGCGCGTGCGCGTGCGCGTGCGCGTGCGCGTGCGCGTGCGCGTGCGCGTGCGCGTGCGCGTGCGCGTGCGCGTGCGCGCGTGCGCGTGCGCGCGTGCGCGTGCGCGTGCGCGTGCGCGTGCGCGTGCGCGTGCGCGTGCGTGTGTGTGTGTGTGTGTGTGTGTGTGTGTGTGTGTGTGTGTGTGTGTGTGTGTGTGTGTGTGTGTGTGGGGGGGAGACGCTTGCCAGGAGCGCTGGAACGCATGCCTGGGGAGCTCGCAAGCTTCGAGAAGCGAGCTTCGAAGGAGCCTCGGCGGAGCTGCGCAGGACCTGCGGCAGGGCTTCAGGCACGCGTTCTGGGAACGAATCGGACAACGCTCCTCGGGACCCGCTGCCGGCTCAAGCGAGGCGCTGCGAGGCTGCCTGCCCCGGGAGAATTGGAGAGGAGCTATAGCGTAGCCCTGCCAGCCCTCCTAGCTCTCCACGGAGCCACCCGGGCATTGTCAGGGTCTCCATTCCCCGCCGATGCGACATCATTCTCCTCGCACGCCCCTTCTCCCTACCCCCCTCTCCTTCCGCCCATTCATCATCCCTATCCTGATTGTCTCCGTTCGCCTCCATCTCGATCACTCTTCACCTAGCCCCCACCTCCCCATCTCTCTTTCTCCGGCGCCCTCTCTCCTCCTCCTCCTCCTCCTCCTCCTCCTCCTCCTCCTCCTCCTCCTCCTCCTCCTCCTCCTCGTCCTCCTCCTCCTCCTTTTCCTCCTCCTTCTCGTTCTCCTCCTCCTCCTCCTCCTCCTCCGACTCCTCCTCCTCCTCCTCGCGACCTCCTCATACCCCTAACCTCGATCTCCTCTACGTCCTCCTCGTCTGTTCCACCCCATCACCTACCCCGATCTCCCTTCCTAATCCCCTTTTCCCCACCCCGCATCTCCGCAGTCCTCCTCCCTCTCCTCGTCCTGTCGTTCTCGCACACGTCATCGACCGCGTCGTCCACCTCGACCTCCTCGTCATCGGCGTCCTCTTCCCTGCTCCTCCCTCCTCTGCGGCCCACTCCCACCCCTTCTCCCCCTGCTGCCCGCCACCCCTCCCTCCCGCCGCGCCTCTTTTTCAATACGCCGCGGCCGCGGCAGCTCCCACTCGCGGCGCCCACCCCCCCCGCCCTGCCCCGCGCCTCGCGCGGGGCTCGGCGCCGGACACGCGCGCCGCCCCGCCTTGGGACCTGCCCCCCCCCCCCCCTCTCCCCCGCATGCGGACTCCAGAGGCTGGCGCGGACATCGCCGATGGCGCATCGCGCCGTCCTCGCTCTCGTCCTTGGGCTGTCGGCCTGGCTGGAGCGACACGACCAGCCCACCACGAGGTCCAACCGCACGCGTCCTCGTCATCGCCGTCGCCGACGCGGACGTCGCCGCCGTCATGGCACTCGTCGCCGTTGTCGCTGCTTTGGCGCTGGCTTTCGTCGTTGTTTGTCTGCGCCCCCGCCGTCAGCGCCATCGGGGCGCTGTCGAGGCCGCCCAGTGGGGGGGGCGGGCGCCGTCGGGGTGAAAGAGGCTGCTGGGACCTTCGCACCAGCAACCGACCAATCAGTTGAGAGATGTTTGAGTATGAGCATATCTGTGCGGGCCCGAAAGATGGTGAACTACGCCCAGGAAGGGCACACTCAGGGAGGACACTTTGATGAAGGCTCGTAGCGATAACGTATCGACGTGCCAACCGCTCATCGTACTCGGGAGGGGCGAAAGACTGATCGAACGGGGGGGGACTGGGGGTCCCAAAATCGCGTGCTGACAAACTGCGCGGTGACCTTGAAATTCCAAGAGACCGCACCGCGCGATCCGTCACCGCACGGTTTTGGGACATGGGAGACACAAATCGCCCGAAACATCATCGGAAAATTACCCAAGACCCAAAACCGTGCGGTGACTCCAAATCCCGCTGTCTCACCACACGGCGTGGTCACCACACCACCTGGGGGCCCCTGACTCGGCTCTCCAGAGGCCGTTCAAGACGATCCGGGCAAACCTGGCACGCCCTCGACGAGGCGCAGCTGATGGAGAGCGTCCCCAGGCTGGAGAGCCGCCGAGAACCAACGAAAACCCTCGAGAACCTCGAAGTGCGAACCTCGGAAACCTCGAACGTCGAACCCCAAGCCGCCGAAACGCCCGGAAACTCCCAGGGACCGACGAGACGCCCGAAACCTGCCGAATCCCCACAGACTCACCACTCGAGCAGGGACCGGCCGTCCAAGCCTACCACGACATGTTCGTAGAGCCCAAACAGGTTCCAAGAACACACCATGATCTTATAACATTAAGCCCGATGCGTTATACAACAAGGCAGACTCAACCAGAACTGTTCTCAGAACAGATCGTGCAGACAAGAGGTTCTTGTGACACTCTTTGGTGGCCCCATAGGCCAACCGGAACGCTTCGCCACTGCTTGAACCACACGGGCCCAAGGTTCGGGAGCGGCCAAGAGGGGGGTGTCCAAGAGGGGGGGGTGCCACTCATGACCGGCGGCATGTGCGCGGCCCAGCGGGAGGGCCAGGGACGTAATGAAACAAGAGGAGGCGCCGTGAAATCTGGGGAACTACCATGCCCCCCGCCATGATATCCACCCCCCCCTAGTCATCACCCCCCTCTTTCGGGGAGACGTAAGACCCGGGTACGGGGGACTCGGAAATCCCCGACGAGGTCGTCAACAAAAATGACGAGGCCGAGCCTGCATTTTGACGAGGCCTCCCGCTGCAGACATCCCACGAAACTCCTCCTCGTCAAAATCCGAGTCGCGGTCGTCAAAAAACGATGGCGAACCCGAGTCCTGGCAAACCTGGGTCTTACGCTCCCCCGACTCTTTTCCGCCCCCGAAAGGTGAGGGGGCGGCCCCACGGCGGCGCCGGCGCGGAGGGGAGCCGCGCAGCGTGGCGCCCGCCCGCGCGCATGCCCGACGCAGGGCCGGCGGGCGCGGCCCCGCCTCACCCCAGGCGGCGCACGGCGAGCGTGGGGCGCTGCACCTGGCAGGGGGGGGGAAGCTGGCTCCAAGGCGAGGCCGTGACGGAGATATAAAACCCCTCCTTCAACTCCTCCTCCTCCTCCTCGTCGTCGTCGTCCTCGTCCTCGTCCTCGTCCTCGTCCTCGTCCTCGTCCTCGTCCTCGTCCTCCTCCTCCTCCTCCTCCTCCTCCATTCACTTTCTTCATAAATAACTCCTCCCTGTCGCACCCAGGGGCTGGTCGAAAGGGCGGGCCGGGCGTTTAGCCCGAGACTTCCTCACCACGGATGATCCTGAAGCTGAAAACCCCACGAGCCCTCTGGGCGTGAGTGGCTTCGGGCGTTTGCCCATTCATATTCCATTATCCCCCTTCGGGAACCCTCCCCTACCTCCTCCCCCTGGACCTGGACGGAGCACCCTGGGACCGATTGCAGCGTCCAAGATGGCCCATGGCCTCAGAGACCCCAAAATGGCCTCCAAGACGGCTCAATATGACTTGAGAGTGCTCAAGATGGCATCCAATAAGCTCCTAAAGGCTTAAAGACCGCCTCAAGAAGGCTCCAAGTGGCCTCGGAGCACCCCTAAGGGAGACCGAAGGAAAATCGATGTGTTTCGCTTTCTCGCCGTTTTACTTCCGATGGCCTTCCGAAGCCTCAGGATGGCACCAAGATGGCCCAAGAGGACACCAAGAGAGGCCTAAGAGAGCCCCAAGACGGCCACTAGAGCGCTCAAGAGCGTTACAAGAGCGCTCCAAGGGGGCCAAGACGCGACTTCAGAGGCTATGCAAGGGGCCAGGAAGAAGAAGAAGAAGAAGAAGAAGAAGAAGAAGACGAAGAGGACAACTAGGAGGTGCAGAACGAGCCGGCTCCCCGAACACCTCCTGAGGAGAGAGGGGAGCCGACACTTCTCGAGCCTGGCCCAGGGGGGAGAGCAGTGACCTGGAACTGCCGATGCCTCGCGGAGAATCATCTCGCGCCGACAGGCCCCTGGATGGCGAGGCCCCGCGTGCCTGGCCAGGCTGGGGCACCCCGCGCGCCCACGAACGCGATGGACGAGGAGGAGGAGGAGGAGGAGGAGGAGGAGGAGGAGGAGGAGGAGGAGGAGGAGAGGAGGAGGGGAGGAGGAGGAGGAGGAGGAGGAGAGGAGGAGGAGGAGGAGGAGGAGGAGGAGGAGGAGGAGGAGGAGGAGGAGAGGAGGAGGAGGGGGAGGGGGAGGGGGAGGGGAGGGAGAAGGAGGACGAGGAGGAGGAGGAGGACGAGGAGGAGGAGGAGGAGGAGGAGGAGGAGGAGGAAGAAGGGGAGGAAGTTCCCCCCCCTCGCCTGAGCCAGCCCCTCCCTGCCTGCGCACCCTGACCGAGAGAGAGAGAGAGAGAGAGAGAGAGACGGGCCCCGCGGCCCCGACGGCGTGGCCCGTCTGCACGCCGCGGGGGGCACCGAGGCCTCGCGAGCCGTGCCCCGGGGCTGGCATTTCACCCTCAGCGGCTGTGTCCTGGCCACGGGGCCTGGTGAGGGCCCCCAGCAGAGGGCAATACCATCCCCCCCCCCCAGGATCACCCCAGGAAGCATTTAAGAAACCCCCCCGGCGATATCGTAGCACCGCATTTTTGATTCGATATTCCGAGGGGCCGAAATAACCGAACGATAGCTTTAGCACACGGACACAAGGAGGAGGGCTCCTGGTGCCAGGTAACGCTTCCAGGGTGCGGAAGGGTTATCGATTTGCCGGAGGGGGGGGTTCTTAAATGCTTCCTGGGGTTAACCACCCCGACAAGCCGAGCCGTTCAGGAAGCGCACCCAGCCGAGGAATCGAACAGGGCAGGGCTGTTTAGTGAACGCCCAGGGCCATTTAGCAAACGCCAAGTGTCGGGTCCAGGTGTGTGTGTGTGTGTGTGTGTGTGCGTGTGTGTTTTTCCTCCCTTGACCCAGAGGCCGAAGACAGCTGTGCAGATCTATAGCTATCTCTATAGGAATATAATCAACGTGATTTGCACATTGCAGCTACCAATCTATGCAGACACACAAACAGCAAGACACGACGCGAGGGGGCCCAGGAGGAGCGCGCACCCCGACGGCGCGGCGGCGGCGGCGGCGCGACGGCGGCGTGCCGCAGGCGGCGGCACAAAGATGCGCCAGCGGCTGCGGGGCCTTCGCCGCGCCGCCCGAGGCCTCGGCCTCCGCGGCCCGGTCCTCGAGCGCCTGGCAGGGCGCGCGCGCGCGGGGGCCCGCGGTGGCTCTGTGGCGGACCGAGCGGGTCTAGATGGCTACCCATCGGTGGGAAGGAGTACATGGCAGGTTTTAATACATAGGATTGTTCAATATCTGTATATATATATGTGAATTTAAAAACATCATTACTGTATGCATAAGTTTACGCATGAACCCATCGCTGTTGTTGATACTAAACCCCTTCATGTTTCATACATGATCCGCACGCGGAGCATGCATCAAAAACGGCACTGTAGGTAGAACCATGAGGTAGGACGGCGTTGGACGTAGACTGGGTCTCCGCGCGCCTCCTGAGGAGGAGGGCGGAGGGAGAACCACTCGGCTCTGAACCAGGAAGGCGGCCGGAGCAGATCGGGAACTGGAGATCCAAAACTACCTACTTTCAACGACCGATGGGTATAGTTTTATGGATTTCGGCTGTTCTTGGTCGCCATGTTCCTATTCGGCGTTTCGACATTGGGCGGAAAGGGGGGTGGAGGGGGGGTCTGGCTCCGGACCCCCCTTGGCCTCCTGAGGAGTATTCGAAGCCTTCACCGAATACAATACAAACACTTCTCAGAAGGCGCGAGGGCTTCTGAGAAGTCCCGCCGCACTCTGAGGAGGCCTTCTCCTTCTCCTTGCCCCCCCTCGCTCGCCGCCGATTCTCCCCCTCCTTCTCCTAGGATGAAGTCCTCCAGCCCCTCCCTCCTCCTTCTCTCCCCGCTCCTCCAAGGGCCGACTGCTGCGGATGCGTGCTTGCACGACGAAGGGTGTGAGTGAACTTGTCTGCTATCGGGGATGCCTGTCCCAAGGCGTCTGGGAAGCTTTACGCCCCGACGTACCGTCGCAGGGGCATAGGGCGCGTGTGATGATTCTCGGCGGTAACGGGCGCTATCGGGGGGGGCAGGGGGAGTGGGAAAGGTGACGCCCCCCCCGCCGCGTGGTTCTGGTACCGCAGCGGCGTCGGCGCGCACGACGACGACGACGACAGTGACGATGACGACGACGACGAGGACGACGAGGACGACGAGGACGACAAGGACGACGAGGACGAGGAAGACGAGGACGACGAGGACGAGGAGGACGAGGACGACGAGGACTACGAGGACGACGAGGACGACGAGGACGACGAGGACGGCGACGAGGACGACGACGGAGAGCGACCACAACGACGACGACGTCGACGAAGACGACGACGACGATGACGACGAGCGACCACGACGACGACGGCGGCGAGGCGAGAAGCCCAGATGCCTCGCAGAGATCTCCCGAGGTCTCCGGAGCGCTTTCGGGAGGCCGCCTGCTCAGGCCTCCAGAGGCCTCCCGAAGCCCTACAGGAGTCCTCCGAAGACTTCCGGAGGACTTCGAAGGCCTTCGAAGGCCTTCGAAGGCTCACGACGAGCGACGGGCGACGAGAACGAGGACGATAACGACGACGAGCGACCACGAAGACGACTAGGACGAGCGACGACAACGACAACGACGGCGACGACGACAAGCGCCGCCCAGAGCCCTCCGGGACAGAAATCATCCGGGGCAGAAGCCCTCTGGAGGTGTTCCTTCTGGGGACATACGAAGGCGTTCGACGACGATGAACTACGGCGGGCGACAACAAGCGACGGCAACGGCAACGGCAACGACAACGGCAACGGCGACGGCGACGACGACGACCGACGACGAAAAACGACGAGGCTGACGCGGAGATCCGCCTGATTGCACCTCGACTTGCCCGCGACCACCGAGTGGCGAGGGAAGCGAGACCGCAGCAAGTGTACAAAATCTGCGGGCACCGCGCGCATGCACAACAAGATGATGGACCCTGTCGGGACCACCATGGCCTGTGAGAGGGACATGACAGCCCCCGTGGCCTACGAAAACCACAAAACCCATGGAGCGCCAGGCATGCCTGCGAGCACCAAAACATCCGAAGCATGCCTGCGAGCACCAAAGCATCCGAAGCATGCCTGCAAGCACCACGCCACAGCAGCGCGCGAGCGCCACAGTAGCAAATAGCCCGCGAGCGCCACAATAGCCTGCGAGGAAACGCAAGCGCTGCGACCGCACCTCGTTGCGACACTGTTGTGCACGAACGCACGGCGGCAATGCCGGGGGGCGCATTGACAGGGGGGAGCGTTTCGTTATTTGGACGGGCGGGGGTCGGGGGGCCATCACGCGCGTTGCTTGCAGCCGCCCTGGGACAAGCGCCATCAAACCCCCAACGTCTGGACTTGTTCACAACGTGGACCCCGCAGGTCTCGACGCACTCCATGGGTCCGGCTTCTCATCCCGACTCGGGGATCTACTGGGCCAGGTGAATCCAAACCAAGGTCAGTCAGGCGTTGCAGGGCCCTGCAAGATCCTGCAGCATCCTGCAGAACCCTGCACCCTGACCCAGGTCCGTGCGACCCTGGCTCTGCAGGATCCTGCAAGGTCCGGCGCTCTCACTGACTCCCGTTGGTTATGGGCAAAGGGAGCATGGCGCGTGGCAGCCACGTGCTGATATTGTACGACGTGCGCACCCCGCACGAAAGATCGTACGAAATATGACGTACATGTTCGAGACCCCTTTGCAAACGACCCATTCGTCAGCCTCTTGGGCCCCGACGAGCTCCTTTGTTGACGGCCCCGGGGCTCCCCGAGGGCCCCCAGAGGCCAAACGTAGCGAACAGCACCTCCCGTCGTGATGCTTTTGCTCACGACGCGAGGAGGTCTGGGCACCCCGATTGCGCAGAAACTGGGGGCCCCAAGAAGCACCGACACCGCCACTGCCCGGACCTCTCCCGGGCTGCGGCCTGACCAGCATGTCTCGGCGAAGCCAGCGGCACAGCGACGGGGGCCCCCCAGGGACGCCCAGAAAAACGACGACGAGGGAGGGGCAGCGGCATGGATGCCTCTCCCTTCTCCGAAGACAATGTCCGCAACCGTGCCCAGAAGGAAGGCACGAGTAGGAGTGTCCCCAGGCACTTCGAGGCCGCACTCCGCACTCATCAAATCGTACAAAGCCTGGATCCCGAAATGCCAGATGTCCTGAGGCTTCCCGTGTGGCGGGGCTTGTCCTCGCAGGACAATTCCCAGAGCCAGAACGGCCCCAGTACAGGCCAAGAAGGCCCCAAGATGTGCCCGAGACTTTCCACAACTGCTGGGGGGGAGCCGCAATCGAGGGGGAGCCGCAATCGACTACCCCCAAGAGCCCCCCAAGAGGCCCTGGGGGCCTCCAAAACGCCGCCAAGGAGCCCCAAGAGACTCCCAAGAGGTCCCCAAGAGGCCCCCAAGAGGCCCTAAAGAGGGCTCCAGGGCCGGCGGCATGAGCGAAGCGATTAAATAATCCATTAGCTTGGCCAGTTGTCGGCCCAACGTTCGGCTGCATGGGAGTTCCCAAAAAGGCAAGGGGGCGGCGGTCATTCGCCGCAGGCGCCTTCGATATCTCGTACCGCTCCTCGTCCGCGGGCGTGCAGCCCGCGGGGAGGGGGCGGCGGCGGCGGCAGCGGTGACGACGAGGGCGGCGAGGAAGATGACGACGACGACGACAACGACGACGACGGCGGCGGCGGCGGCGGCGACAGCGACGGCGACATCGACGACGAAGAAGACAAGAAGAGCCGATTGACACAATCTATGATTGATACGTTCCGGGGAGTCTGGGATTTCTAACAACTTGCGTCGGATATTGTCTACTCTGCCTGGCGCCGCTGGTCGGTCACAAATGCGCAATCGAGTAGTCGCCCGTAAGGGGCTAGGTGGTATTTGCTGATCCCCCTTCTCGTTGCCGGGCGCGGGGGGGGGGGAGGGGACGGTGAAAAATCCGGAAAACGTTTATGAAAATGTCCGGCCAAATTCTGGAATCCTGGAACTGATTTTGAGAAATTCCGGAATGTATTTTGGCAAATTCCAGAACCAATGTTGGAAACTTCTGGATTCCAGAAATCGTCAGATGTCTTGCGCGGCGGGCGCTTTCCACCCGTCAAAACTGTTTCTTGAAAACTGATGGACACATTCGTGAGAAATTCCGACAACGCTTTTGCAAAAAAACGGCCGCGAAACAAGTTCCGGGCGGTCTGACGGACTCAACCAGCTGATTCACGCACCGCGCCGCGTGCGATTGGGCGCACCGCGCGCCGCGCCCTGCGCCCGCGAACAGCACGCGAGCGCGCCCGCGAACAGCACTCGCGCCACGGCGGCTGCGACTCGCGGACCACCCAAAAGCAACACATAATGCAGCTTGGAATCTCCGAGGGCGCTCCGATGCGCGAAAATGCACCGCGCACATCACACAAAGAACCTGCGCGACGGAATGCGCTCGACCATTCGTCCTTGGAGCCCGCAAGGAAGGACGGGAAAACCTGGAACTCGTTGTAAACTATCAGTATCAATACTTCATACTCCTCTGAACTAAGGCGGATACGACGATGTCGACGAAGACGACGACGACGACAACGGCGGCGGCGGCGAAAACGACGGCGACGGCGGCGACGGCGAAGACGACGACGACGACGACGAAAGCCTTCAGCAGCGAGGGGACGGTGCCGAGGGCGGCGCGGGCGGCGAGGACGAGGACGAGGACGAGGACGAGGACGAGGACGACGAGGGGGGCGAGGACGACGACGACGGCGGCGACGACGAGGGCGGCGGGAACGACGACGACGGCGTCGTCGACGACGACGACGGCGGCCTTCAGCAGCGGGGGGACGGTGCCCAGGCCCTCCGTCGGCCTGCCGATGGTCAGCGGCTCCTCCTGGAGGGGCGCCCGCCCGCCGCCGAGGCACCGCGTCTCCACAGGCTGCGGTGCAGTCCGGCGGCGAGGGGCGCTCGAGGGATGCTGGCGTCCATCGTTGACCAACTACCAGACTACTTTAGTGGTGGAAACAATTGGTTTTCAAAATGGTTGGTCTTTAGAAGCTCTGCGTGGCGACGCCCCCGTCGCCACGCGCGCCCTCTGCGTGCCTGCGGGGGCGCCGCCACGTAGAAGTACTGGAGACCGAGCATTTGGGGCGTCGCTACGCACGCCCTCCGCGTGGCTGCGACCATGTGTTAAAACCCTAAAACCAATTAAATTCACTAATAAAGTACCCCAACCCAACCCGAAGACCCGAAGTTCGGGTGGGGGGGGGTAAGGGTTCCGCCCGTGTTTTTGTCAATGTTCCCCGACCCCCCCCCCCACTGGAAACGGAGGCCAAATTGAGGCCTTCGGGTTGGGTTGGGGTGGTTTGGTGGGCGGTGAGTTGCTGTCGCTGCGATGGCTGTTGCCGCTGTGGACGGTGACGAGGATGTCACTGTGATCGTTCTCGTGGTGGCCGTTGGCATCGCTATTGACTACCTGTTGCCGTTGGCATATCGTTGTGATCGTTGTGGTCACTGTGATCGTTGTCGATGTTATCGTTGCTATCGTTGGCAGTGGGCGCTGCTTAACGTTACGACGAAAAACTGGGTGGGGGGGAGGCGAAGGCCCGTGCACATTGAGTGTCCCTTCTGGACCCCAGAGGCCGCGGTGGTGAGGTGCACGAAAAGGTGCGCATTTCTTCATCCCCACATTCCCCCATCAGTGCTTGCACTGAAGGGGCCCTCATTGAAATTGAAAGACTTGGCGAAAATGTCCCGCCGATTTTGGTGGCCAGCTGGGTTCCCGGGTTCCTGGTTCTGGGTTCCTGGTCATTGGTTCTGGTCCGATTTCGGTGGTTTCCGAGTCCCCGGGTTCACGGGGTCCCGGTCGATCTCCTTCTCGATCTTAATATCGATCCCATTTCAAACCATCCACTGATTTGGGTTTTTTCTCTGGTGTAATGTATCTCCGCCGGCGGCACCGCCTGCCCCGTGCTCCGGCCAGGGCAACGGCTGGCGAGAAGCCTGTGGCGCCACTGCCGTCCGAGCCCCAGCCAAGGTCGTCGGGCTGCCCGCCCACGGCGGCATGGTGCAGGATGAGCGCAGCTGCGGTGAGGACCTCCAGGGTTATGTTGCTCTCATCGTAGTTAAGGATCACATCCCAGAAATTATTTCGAGTCCCCAGGAAAGTGTCGAAGCAGTGTCGAACGAGTATCGCCTCCCAGGGCCCAACATGTGAGAACCCTCACGTTTCGGTAGGTTCGTGGTGCTCGAAATTCTCTCTGGCGATTAAAGTAGGTTGGAACATCACAACACCAGGGCCACAAAGGGTGAGCAGTCCCAAGAGTTGGCGTTGCATGAGTGTCGGAAGCTGGGCGAGGGCTGGCAAGTCCGTGGCTGCTAAAACGTGCTTCCCGGCAGAAAAGAACAGCTTCCCGAAATCAATTCCAGCGCAAGAAATAATCAACGGGCTGCTCCCTGGAAGAAACGATCCAGTTCCCAGAGCTCTGTTTCAGCAGCCACGGGCTTGCCAGCCTTCGCCTGGCTTCTGAGAGTGGAGAAACGGGCCTTGCGCGAGAAGGCATAGCGACACTACGCCGCGGCTTCCGCGGGCTGCCAGCGTGGCAACCTGTGACAGCCATGGAGCCAGAATCCGTCCTGCAGATGCAGCGCTGCGAATGCCCTGCCGAACACGAGCACAGGCCAGAACGAATCTGGCACACGGGGTCACGAGAGCCTCGAGCGCAGCGCCTCATCTCCGATCACGGTGCTGCGGGAATCACGCGCACGCACCGACGGAAGGTGGTAGAGAAGACGAGGGAGGAGGGATCTCATCATTCCTCTGTTTCTCCCTCATCCTCCTCCCCCTCCCCCCCTTTTCCTCCTCTCCTCCTCCTCCTCATCCTCCTCCTCCTGCTGTCGCTGTCCTCTCCTCCTCCTCCTCCTACTCCTCCTCCTCCCTCTCCTACTCCTCCACCCAGTGATGAGCCCATCTTCACGCAGCTTGGCCACGACATATTTGTCGCTGGCACTCGACTCTGCTGCAGGCGGTGTGCGGGAACCTGTGAATTTCAGGCTCCGCGCACTGCCCGCAAGCTTCGCAAGCCCTGCCCAGGAGCTGCAGAGGCACCCGCGGAGCGGCGGAAGCAGCTCGCAGAGATGGAACGAATCCCTCGCGGGCTGCCCCCGCGACAGCGCGGCAAAGGGTAGCCTCCGACTCTCGTGGGCCTCTGTTGGCGGGCCCTCCCCCCCTTGGGGACTCCGTCACACCCACCCTGCTGGGTGGTTATTCAGAGGCCGCGGGGCAAACATTGTGTGAACGCCCCCGCGCGGTCGTCCCGGCTGGGCGCGCTTGTTGCCTCCCTCGTCGCCGCGGCTGGGGCTCGGGTCTGGTGTCCTCGTCGCCGCGGCTGGCGTTTTCTTCCGGTGATTTCTTGTCGCCACGGCTGGGTCGTGACTGCACAGCCCTCCCCACGAAGTGGGTCGAGGACGCCGAGGGGTAGGTTTTTCCCAAGCCTCCGCCGCCCAACGTGGGCAATGCGGGTTATCCTACGCCTGCGGTGACGCTTCGAGTCGCCCGCAATCGGCTCCAACTCCAACTCCAACTCCTCCTCCTCCTCCTCCTCCTCCTCCTACTCCTCCTTCTCTTACTCCTCCTCCTCCTCCTCCTCCTCCTCCTCCTCCTCCTCCTCCTCGTCCTCCTCCTCCTCGTCCTCCTCCGCCTCCTCTCCTCCTCCTCTGTAGCCATGGAAGCTCATAATGCTTGTCAAAGAAACCAGAAACGTCCAAACAGAAAGGATACCGCGAATCTGCGGCATGCTTCCACAACATTCGACCTGTTCGCCCGGGTCTGGATCCGTGCACCAGGGTGCGCGGGCGCATTTTGTAAGCCCCTGCTGGAGCGTAGGATCCGATCGAGCACTTGATCACATCGTGTCAGGATGTGCGGCCGGGGCCGTCTGCGTGGCAAGCACACGGTGCGCGGGAAATGCAAGGACTGGGTCAACGACCGGAAGCTGCGGAAGCAGGACGGCAGCTGCGGAAGTGCGGGAAGAGACTCCCCACATGCTCGGAGGCGGAGAGGCGTGGCACGGTCCCGCGCGAGCGGCACTTGACGAAGCTGGGGTCTAACGGTGCCAGCGGCGAAACGCTGTGGCCGCCCAAGTCGGGGTCCCCCATCACCTTCGACTTCGCGTCGTTGGTCAAGACTTGCCCCACCAAGCGGGCTCAGCTCGAGGAGGTCAAGGCCGAGCTGGACAAGGTGGCCGTGCCGCCGAATGCCACACCCGTCGTCGAGCCTCTCTCGCCTGCGGAGCGCCTGACGCGCGCCAACAACACGGTAGCCAAGACGGAGGGGGACCTCAACCTGGCGCATCGTGACGCGGGCGTCGTGAAGCGAGGTGGACGAGTGGGTTCTCGGGCTGGCCGGCGCCCCGCCCGGAGGAGAAGAAGGCTGCAGCGGCGGTGGGCGCCGGCGGCTGAAGCGCCCAACGCCGCCGCCCAGGTCGGCAGAGATCACGACGACTTCGACGAAGGCTTCCGCCAGCTGCTCGAGGGCCACGCGGCGACGCGGGAGCAGCAGCAGCAAGGCGGCCTGCCAGCAGCTGGAGCAGGCCGCGCGGGCCCGCGGGCAGCAACGCGCTGCCCGGGAGCGGGCCCTCGCCGCTGCGCAGGCCTTGCGCTGGAGCCCCAGCGCGAGAAGGGAGGCCACGCTCAAGGCCACGCTGGAGGAGCTCAGGACGATCTGGAGGCCATGCTGGAGGCCATGCTGGAGGAGCTCCATGCGAGAAGGGAGACCACGCTCGAGGCGATCCAGGCCCAGGCAGCCGACGAACACGCCACGGCGGCTGAGTAGAAAGCAGGTACTCGAACGTGACGACGTTTCGTAGTTTCCCCCCCATCAAGCCCAGAAATAAGAAAAGTCACAACCAACTGCAGCCGATCCCAACTACTCAAGTACTAATTCCAACCCCTTCGGTAAGTCCAATCACTTTAATTAATATCCAACCAACTTCATGAGAAGCCCAACAGGCGTGTTAGGGGTTCGCGGGGAGTCTTTCTCCCTGCTCGCCGGATGCGAGGGAGCTGGCTCAATATTCTGATGGACCTAATTCGCCTCCTGCTCCTCCGCCTCCTTCTCCTCCTGCCCCTCTTCCTCCTCCTCCTCCTTCTCCCCCCCTTCTCCTCCTTTTCCTTCTCCCCCCCTCCTCCTCCTCATCCCCTCTCCCCTCTCCCCACTCCTCCTCCTCCTCCGCCTCCTCCTCCTCCTCATCATCATCATCATCATCAGCTTCTTCATCATCGCCACCTCCCTTTCTCTACCTCCTCCTCCCCCTCCTCCTCGGCTTGCCCCCCCTTGCTCGCCCGCTCCTTCCCTCAAGACCTTACCCTTACACTTGTGAATCCGTAAGCCTTTGAAGCCTTAATCCCCTGAAACCCTTGGCACTAAAACCAATATACACGTAAGCCCCTGAAAACTTACGCCCTTAAGCCGCTAAACCCTTGCACCATCAAGCCCTCATGCCTTGTAAACCATTGACCAACTTAAGCCAGTAAACCCTGAAACGCTCAGACCGTCAAGCCCTTCAGTACTTGAACAATTCAGTCCTTGCGCCAATAAGCCCTCAAACCCTTAAACATGTCAACAATTAAGCACTTAAGCCCCTTTCAAGCCCTTACCTCCCTTCTCTCTGAACCCCTTAAACCCTGAATCCTCCACAACCTAAAAACCGTAAATGCCTAAACCCGTGACCCTCGAAACCCTCACGTTCTTGAACCCTTTTAGGCCATTCAGCCCAAAACCATTTAAACCTGTTAACACACCCTGAACACCTTAAGCCCTTACACCGTCAAACATTTAAACGCGTAAGCCCTCAAACCCTTAAACCCTTAGGCCCTTAACCCAAAAACCCGTACGCACGTACTATAACACGTTCCAACCTGGGAACTCATGTTCGTTTAGTTATGTAATGCACGTGCACACACAAACAAAGTTATTGCATTGCGGATATACTGACATCGCTTCACCAATATAATCATGATCGTATGGTGAGGTAAATTGGCCGGTTGGAATCAATACCAATGTGTCTGTTCGAGATGTTCGATTCAGAAACATACCAACTGGTTGGGATTAGTCCCGATCAATTGGAATTAATCCCGGATGCCCCGAGTCCCCCCCCCCGGGATGAGCAGGTCAAATCTGAGTCTGTGCTCGGTACTCACGGCGCTGGCCACAACAGAAGCTCGCAACAAAGGCGACGGTTTCGCAGTTCGAAGCCTCCAGGGACGGTGAGTTTTTCATCCGAGCCCGCGCTCGGTAACCACTATGCTTGCCCCCACTGCAGCCAACGAAAAGAGCGACAGGTTCGCAGCCACCAAGGGTGAGGTCTACTCAGAATCTGCGCCTGGTACCTACAAATAAGTCGGTCAAAAAATACTCCAAAATGGTCAAACATACTAGAAAAAAAGTCCCCATACGATTTTTGGACTATTTTTGAATATTCCCCCTGTAGAAGGACAGGCCCGACTTAAACCTGCAATGGTGTCCCCATAAAGCACACACATCATAGGTTGCAACACCCCAGAAGGTGGGAGGTCTGGTCAGAGTCTGCGCCGGGTACCCACAATGCTGGCTCCTCTCGGCACCCCCGTAAAGTTATCGCAGCCCCAGAAGGAAAATCGAGGCAGAAGTCACACGGCATTGAAACATGACACAACGCAAAAAAGGGAGACGCGTAGGACATAGGAGACATAGGGAGAAAGGAGGCGGGGAATAACGACGGCGAGGCTCTGTGCAGAACAAGAACCCAACGGATGTCTGGGAATAAACTTTAGTAGGGCGCCCACAAAGGACGTACGCGCCCAACTATGTACATGAACACGGCCCCTCGATCCGCGAGACCGGCCGCGTTATACGAACACCTGCGCAATGCGGACTCTCGAAAGCAGCGTGGATTCATGTACGTGTACGTCCTTTTGTCGCTCCTGATTTCGGCGGTTCGAGCGGATTTCCAGGCTCGGCGCAGGACTGCGGCGGCGGCGGCGCCGGAAGCGCCGCCAGGGGGGGGGGGGCCAGCGCCGATCCAGGAGATCCATCCGCGCGGAACGCCGAAAGTTTATGTTCATGTACTTGTTTTGAAGGGGACCCAGGACACACATAAATACACACACATAAAAATATTCCTCATATTTTCTCATATGTTCTGGGTTTTTGTCTTCCCCCCCACTTCCCATATTTTCCAAGATTTTCTGGGGAATAATTGTGTCTGTGTGTTTCTTTCCCTCCTGATTCTCGTTGAAGAAGAGGATATCCTGTCCGCCGTGACCCACCATTTCTCTGCATCTCCCGAGGCCGTCTGCAGGCATGCGGTGGAAACGGACGGCGGAAGGGCGCATCCATGTTCGCTCAGGCCCGCTCAAACCTTCAGTGCCAACTATTGTTGTTACCACCACCCACATGGGGGAGAGATGGAGGAGGAGGAGACCGAGGGGAGACCGAGGACAACCGATGGGGAGGAGGAGAAGATGGACAACCGAGGGGAGGAGGAGGAGGATAAGATAGAGGAGGAGGAGAAGGGGGAAGAGGAGGAGGAGATCACAGAGAGGGAGAAGAAGAGCACGGGGGGGGGTTCGGCAACTGCCCTTTCCCCTCTCGCCACACCTGGGGCATCGTGGGAGGAAGAGGCGGTAAGACGTCAGAGCGGTCCGGAACGCTCTGACAGCGTTCGGGAAGCCTCGGGAACGAATGCACCTCGACTCCAGGCCTGTCCGAGGAAGTGAGGGGCAAAAGGACGTCCCTCGTCCTCCCTGGCCCCGGGGCGCCGCGCGGGGGGGCGCCCTCCTGCCGGAAGGTCAGCGGGGTCGACTTGGCCGCCTCCTGCGCGTCCTCGTCGTCCGCACCCGCGCTCTGCGAGCCGCCGACGTCGC